TCACTCAAACCTGAGAAAGAGGGGTAACTCCAGCCCGTTTTAGAGGGAGAGGTTACTTTACCTCGACCAGGAGCAGGTTTTCTTCAATGAACCCCGAGTTCCTCTAGGTCTCCTCCCTCTTTCAGAGCCAGAAACGCTGTTTCATTTCCTCATTCTTTCATTCAGTCCATATGACGCTGTGTCAGTGAAGATTCATCGTTTGTCTGAATAAAAATCGAGGTTGTTTTAATATGATATGTTAGGATGGCAATGGCCTACTACAACGTATAAAACGAACTATTTTATCAAACATGGCATGTCTTTAAGTCGGTATGAAGCGTATGAAGGGCTGCATTACTCCGTAGGGAATTAGAGCTTATGCTACATTAACCTCGGGAGATGTTAATTTAAGTAGGGTTAATTTATAAACTAAACAGGATAAAGGTGAGAGCACATTTAGCTTATGTGTGTGAATACAGCTTTATGTTGAGGATAAAGTTAATGCACAAATAAACTCTGAATGAAGTTAACTATAAATCTATATGAGCCTATTATGTTATTATATTTCATTTTGAGCTGTTTAAAAGTCGATTTTCTTCTGCTAGATTGCATCTTAATGAAAATAAATTGTATAGGTTTAATAGCCTACCATTCCATCAGTTTTGACCAGCAATATTTTAATTCTGATTAAATATTAAATTAATAGACTTTATGTGCTGACGCGAGCAGCTGTTTTCTCTTACACCACTTCTCTCTCCTTTGTTGCTGCGCTGCAGCAGTTTTACTTTTTTCCTTCTTAAAACCTGTTCATATTCACCGTAACCTGTAGCCACATGAAGATATTGATGTATTCCGAGATGGTTAAAGTAGGAGGATCTCTTTTTTTGTCACCTGTTGCCATGGTGAATCATAGAATCGGGGCTCCATTCATGTTGTCTTTTTATCGTTATGGTGCACGCGCTGAACACCAAGTGGACCTACTCAGAGTTGATTTAACTAATTAAAATCTGCTGATCTGAAACCGAAAACTCAGAGTTTCCCATCTGAGAGTAAATCAACTCAGAGCTCATGGTTAGACTGAGGATTTGTTGAACCTTCTCTCAGAAACGGGCCCCTTATCTGTTGATGTATTTAGATGTTTTCAAACCTTGGAGACGGTTCACACTTCACAGTTCTTGTCCTGATTTTAGCTCCTTGTTTCTTATTTTGTTGTTTCTTTGTTTTCATGGCTTACCCTCATTTGAAAAAAATGCTATGACAGTGTATTTACTAACAAATATGATGTATTCTGCATTTTGTTCCAGCAACATATGTTGGTTTTCAATAAATAAAACAAATACCTTTACGAGGGTAAAATACCGGTGTGTACAGATGTCAATTGTGTAATTTGTTGTGAATTATTTAGCTTGTGACTTCTGTAGCATTAATGCACAGTATCTGCTGTTAACATGGCATACTATACAAGGAAACTGTCTACTAGATGTTCTACATGTAGTGTAAATAGTGATATCAGTTCACACAGACTAAAATATTTTGTGCTTTCAATAATTCCAGTTACCAAACCTGAAAATTGAATGTACCACATTTGAGAATTTTGGTAGATCGTCCTTGTATTAACAATTAAAACCCTTTATGCCACTTATATGTCAGTACACAATTAAGACTCAGTAGCATTTCCCAAAATATAAGCACTTACAGTCCAATCAGTAATGTATGTAATGTAAAGCCATCGCCTGCTAAAGCAGAAACATTTTTTCTCAGCTATAGGTTTACTGTAACATGGAATATGTTGTAAGGGCTTCAGTATAGTCCACATCTATAGCCCAGCTATTTTGTGGCTGCTGTAATCCATTTTGTTCAACAGCCTGTTGTAGATAAACCTGAATGTCTGGGTCACCATATGAATCAATTGTTTGCCTGGCCTCCAGAAACACATTTAGTTCCCTGTCTTCAACAGCAAATCCACAGTCCCTTGAACCAAACCTGCAAATTCAGACAATTATAGAATTATGAAAGGGTTTTTACCAAGATATTAGAAATGTAGTTTGAGATGGCCATTGTTAATAAGATGTGTTTGCTTGTTGATCTACAGAAATGTGAAAGTAAACAAAGGCAAGACAACTAGCTTATAAATTACATTGAATACAATAATTTACAAAAATATACAATTATCCAAATATAGTTACGAGTGCAGTGCAATTTGTTATAATACAATATTCAGTTTATGATCATTTAACTCTGAGTTGATGTGGATTACCTGTGAGGCAACAAATAGAGTTCGTTTGGAATCCCTCCAGGACATGAGGCAAGTCTGGATGGTCGAGTCCTGTGCTTGTTCCAGAGTCCATACATTCATCCAGGTCTTTCTGCAGAACATTACTGAAGCAAAATCTCAGTAAGCACTGGTGTTCATGGCTACTGTTGAAGTGTCCAGAGTCTCCAAACAGGTCCATCCAAAACTGAGAGCTAGGAATACATTACAGTTTTTTCCAATTGCTAACACACTAAAATGACATGCATAGCACAATTATTTAAACTGACACACAGAGAGCAAAACCTCTTCTCAAGTCTCCAAAAGTCTAAACACTTTTTCTGCTTTACACACATTTTGCAATTCAAAATGGCACTTTTTAAATGCACTGAACACGGTTCTCTGCACAAGACACAACAATCTGACATAAAGTCACATGTTTGCCATTTTAAAACACTGCCATTCAAAATGACACTACATGAGCTAATTGGCCAATATATGTGCCACCTGGCCAAACACCTCAATGGTTAATTTTTATCAATCAGGAAGTAAGCACTATGAAAAGACCACAGGTGAGCACCTTTTTTTAACAACAACAATGGAAGAGGTTGCAGAGAGAGGAAGAGGGAGGGTGAGAATGAAAGGGGGAGGAAGAGTGAGAGGTAGGGGTAGAGCTGGGAGAGGAGTTCATGGCCAAAGAAGACAACAATTTTCAAATGAAATCAGAGCAACCTTAGTTGATCATGTCATCAACCATGGGCTGACAATGTGTGAGGCTGGACAGAGATCAGCCCAACTTGAGCCGTTTTACTGTACTGGTATATGTTGCACCGACTTGTTTGGTGAAAAAAAAAAAATGTTTCAACAGCGTGTGTGTGTGTGTATCTGCAAATATTTCTGTGCATGTGAACAATCTGAAGAATTTTCTACAATTCAAACTATTTTAGTCTTATGGCAAAGCATACTAAAGATGAGAGTGCTTTTCATTATGCCCAACAGTGTGTAGTTGGTTAGACAAAATCTGGTAATATGAATGGAGTGTGTGCCATTTGGTGCAAAAGTTTGATTTTGATAATGCTATATGAAGTTTTGGTTGCAGTGCTTCATTTTGCAGGATGTAGGAGGTATTTTGCAGTTTGGGTGTGTGATTTTGTGAATTATGTTAAGTATTTTGATAAAACCAGCCTAGTTTGCAAAATTGTGTTTTAGCAATTGGAAAAAACTGTAAATGCAAAGTTGTTTTCTAACCCTAACCCTTTTTTACACACGAGGGGAAATGTTTAATTGATTGAATAATCTAGAGGGCTGAGATGAGGAATGTTATCAGCATTTTAAAGAGTGGTCTGAAAAAAATTATTCATCATAGTCACCACTTCTCAGTTTGATTGATCACTAGGCAATAGTTACATACCTTCCTCTTCTGAAAAAGGACCACCATGACTCGATACGCTGACTCCCTGTTGATGAGCCTCTATAGTAGTCTGTATGTGCATGGCGGAGGGCACATTGTATTGCTGCAATTGTCCCATTTTCTGTTCCGAGGTCAGTTCTTAATCTCATTGGGATCACACCAACACTTTTAATATACAATTAATAGAATTGTGTGCAATGACAGATGGGTTGTTGTTAGTATTTCCACAAACAAGCCACATTATTCTTCTCGACAAGCCATCTATACATCCTGAGAGGGCCATTTCTCATTACTACTTCTCGTTTCACACGTAGTTTGTGTTTTTGTTGAAGAACTTGCCACATAGTCCGATAGCCGAAGAGTTGCCCGGGCCCCTGCAGCTCAGTCTGAATGGCACGTCTCACCTCGGCTAGTGGAGAATAGTTCCGTCGTCTGTACAAACCTGCTTCTTTTAAACGTGTCTTTAGTATACGGACACTAATTTGAATGTTGTGAAAGGTTGACAGCATATCCAATATCACCTCATATTTATGGCCTGCATCAAAATATTCTCTGAGAGTAGTAAGTCTGATTCTCCGGTTTTGTTCATGTTTTGAGTGTCGACTGCAGGTACCTACCTTTTCCGTTAAAGTTAATGTCATTGTGTTTTTTGATTTGTTGTTGTGTTTTTTTGATTTGTTGTTGTGTTTTGTGATTTGTTGTTATGTTTTCTTATTTGTTGTGTTTTCTTATTTGTTGTTGTGTTTTCCTATTTGTGGTTGTGTTTTCTTATTTGTCGTTGTGTTTTCTTATTTGTCATTGTGTTTTTTGATTTGTTGTTGTGTTTTTTTGATTTGTTGTTGTGTTTTGTGATTTGTTGTTGTGTTTTTTTGATTTGTTGTTGTGTTTTGTGATTTGTTGTTATGTTTTCTTATTTGTTGTGTTTTCTTATTTGTCATTGTGTTTTCCTATTTGTCGTTGTGTTTTCTTATTTGTTGTTGTGTTTTCCTATTTGTGGTTGTTTCTTGATTTGTTGTTGTGTTTTCTTATTTGTTGTTGTGTTTTGTGATTTGTTGTTGTGTTTTGTGATTTGTGGTTGTGTTTTCTTATTTGTTGTTGTGTTTTCTTATTTTTTGTTGTGTTTTCTGATTTATGGTTGTGTTTTCTTATTTGTTGTTGTGTTTTCTTATTTTTTGTTGTGTTTTCTGATTTATGGTTGTGTTTTCTTATTTGTTGTTGTGTTTTGTGATTTGTGGTTGTGTTTTCTTATTTGTTGTTGTGTTTTCTTATTTGTCGTTGTGTTTTCTTATTTGTCGTTGTGTTTTCTGATTCGTCGTTGTGTTTTCTTATTTGTTGTTGTGTTTTGCATTTCAGGGCCACCGTAAAAGCAACAGTCAATCCGGTAAAAGCAACTCTGGCACGCGCACCTGGAGGCTCGTTCATTTGACCATACATTAGCGCTACCTGGAACCATTGAGACAAGAATCAAGGAAAATTTAGCATCAAAGCTGCCACCGGAGTATCACAAAAGCTGAAATTTGTTTAAACAAATAAAAATATGTCAATTAGGATGTCACCTTTGATGTTGTGTCCTTCAGGTTCATGACACCAGACTCAATCACTTCATGGTACAAGTCATTTCCCTTACGGGTTCGTCCTCCCACTCCAGCAAACACAGAGTAACCACCATGAGCCTTGGCCACATTGTTGATCAGCTCCATAATCAGCACAGTCTTACCAACACCAGCGCCACCAAACAGACCTGGAGGAATATGACACACACAATATTCAATTATCATGAAATGGATGTCTAAAAATGTGAGTTCAGAAAGAAAAGAATCCAAGGTGTAACTCCACTGACCAATCGTTCCACCCTTTGCATAAGACAGCAGATCCACCAGATGCAGATTCTCCTGCTCCACACTCATGTCTGTGAATTCAGGGGCTTTAGCGGGATGGGGCAGTTCTGTGATAAGACTTTTTTTTTTTTCAGTAAGCTGTTAAAAGGAGATTGTTTGTGATATTTTTTTTCAAATATCAAAAACAAAATCCTATAAGAGCACTTTAACCAGCCAATTAAAATGCACATTTCAGTCCTGAATGAGTATTTATTTACTAAAAAACTTCAACTTCAACCAACCGTCACTGTGAATATACATACGTATATGTATATACATATATATATATATATATATATATAATTTAATTTAAATGATCAATATACACACACTTATTTATGTAAATACTGTAATTGACATCTTAATTGACCCATCTGTCACATAACTGTATTTTTCTTATTATCATGTAACTTCAGCATCTTTTGCACTATTCACCACTGCACTGTTTCATATTAGTCTTAGTCTATTATGTTTATTGTTGATATTTAATGCTGTACCTGTACATAAGAGAGCACAGTTCACTGAAGTTAAATTCCTTGTGTGTGTAAGCATACCTGGACAATAAATCTGATTCTGATTCTGATTAATGTTGGTGTATACATGGGAAAATTTGACAACAACCAAAGCATAACTCCAGCATCATGACAATCTCCTCAACACTTACTGTTTGGTGGTAATTGAACCCCTCTCATCAACGGGTTCTCCAATGACATTCATGATTCTGCCAATGCCAAGGACAATGACATAAATCTACTCATTCATAAGAAAACTTGACATTTGAAAGCATCGACTGGATATGAGACATATCTAACAGCGTGTAAAGCCTCAAAGTATGCATGTGGTACATTACATTACGGTATACAATGCAGCATGAGTGTACGTTACACAGCATACAAACACATCTCCATATTGTGTGTTTAAAGATCTTTGCTTACTGGCGGAAGGTTTTAAGAGGAGAAGTGTCAAACCCTACTGAACTGATATTTGGAAAAGTCATTCATTGGAGACCCACAATACTAACTACAAGGTCTGATTTGTAACAAGACGCACACATATCTGCGTATTACCTATTTACGCTTCTTTAATTGAAGAAGGACACATGCATACTGTAAATGAATGGAGAGACGCTTACTTTAAGGACTGAGCCACAGAGTGTACAAACATTTTCGTTAAAAAAACTATTCGAATTGAAATTTTACGCTGACAGCCGGTGCAAGTTCAAAAGTAGTTTAAACTCACCTAAAGAAAGAGCCGTATGTCTCCTTTTAAAGAGTTTAAAGGTTTTACAGCCTGCAGAGCCCTACAGCTCCCAACATGGTTAAAGGTGAGGGCACACACGGCTACGGCTGAGTTTATACTTCCAGAAGCCGGTTCTCTGAGCATGCGTTGTTTGTTGTATTTGATATACCCTTACTTACCGAGAGAGGGCAGCAAAAACGAAAATATAGAAGTAGGATACCCTGAATATCTGATCTTGGATTTTTCTGTCATGCTGCCCCCCGACGCTTAACACAGATATTGTAGTATAATGTTCATGTAGGCTTTTTTCATGAAAGTGTAGTAAGTGTAATATTCTTTTAACAAGCCGTGGACTGTATGATCCCTTTCAAATTTTCTAACCTACCTAACCTCTCCCTGTTGTAGCAGTTACAGAATTTCCCCAAATGCTAATATTACATTGTATTTAAAGTTGTTGTACTTTATTGAGAATTTAATGAAAATGACTACATATCTGAAAAAATATATAAAAACAAGTACAGATCACTTAAACTGGGTAGGCCTGTCATTATGCAAGAGGCAAGTTTTTTTTATTTCAGATAGATTTCTGTATTTCATATTTCTTTTAAAGATTATGCATAAAACAACTTTTAATGGCATATTTTCTCTGACATTATGGGCTTGAACAACCTTTTTCCTGTAATAGAAACAGAATCAAGTAGAGCAAACCACAGCCAAGAATCCCTTTATTTATATTGTGTCAATTAGATAGTTTAAATGCATATTTATTCACTTTTACAAACCTTGTTTATATTTTGCAGCAAATTGTAGTCATTTAAAATGTTTCATTCACAAATAGGTCTAAGCTTTTGTAACTCTAGAAGTCTAGCATGATAGAAGAGATAACAAAAAACTCTGTCAGTGAGGGAAATACATAAAAGACAACCTGTCTTTACAATCACTTTAACAACTAAGAATTGTAGCTGCAGCTAAAGTAACTCTATGAAAGGGTGTCATTCATCGTATGGCGATGGAGTGGATTTTGCCATTTAGCCATCATTCAGTGCAACATTCCTTTGTGTCAGAAATGCTCCTCTAATTACTGCTTGCCTGCAGCTTTGCAATACAAAGCCTCGTCACCTTGAACACAGTAGACCGAAAGCTCCATGAATCCTCAGCACGTCTCTGAACCACACCAGGAGGATTATAGTAAAAGGTCACGTCGGCTGGTGGTGGTCAGATGGCTATCTTTTAGGGTCTTTAAGGTGAAGAACCACCTACAGCTTCTAGTTATACATTTTCCAAAAGATATATTGGATGTCACTCACCTACTGCAACCCCCTTTACATACATGGATAATTAAAGGGAAAATCACAATAGCCACAGTACTAAATCTTTATCATTACTAGCACATGAGGTTACTGTTCAGAATTTCTGCACACTCCAAAGGACATTGACACTTTTTTAAGAAATATTGATTTACCACATTTAGATGTGGTAAATCAATAGCAGTTACTCTTGATAAACCATTCACAACAACAGAATTCCATAATGCATTAAAACTCATGCCAAACAATAAAGCTCCAGGTCCTGACGGCTTCCCTGCTGAATTTTATAAACACTTCTGGAATATTCTAGCACCCATTTTCAACAGATTAACAGCAGAAATCAAACAAACATCTAAACTTCCCACAAACATGAACACTGCTTTAATGTGCCTCCTACTCAAACCCGATAAAGACCCCACCTCCCCATCAAACTACCGTCCCCTATCCCTCATCAACACAGACACAAAAATGATCAGTAAGGCAGTGGCATCATGTATAGAAACAGTAATTCAATCCATCATCCATCCAGACCAAACCGGCTTTATTAAAGGAAGACACTCATCCAGCAGTCTACGCAGACTCTTCGATCTAATCCAATATACCACCCTCACAAACTCACCAACAGTCATACTCTCTTTGGATGCTGAAAAAGCATTTGATAAAGTCAATTGGGAATTTTTATTTGCTGCACTTAAAAAATTTGGTTCTTTTATTCACTGGGTGAGAGTTCTTTACACAATACCTATGGCCACAATTACAACCAATGTAATCACTTCACACCGTTTCACTTTGCACAGGGGCACGAGACAAGGATGCCCACTCTCTCTCTATTCGCTATTTTTATTGAACCACTTGCTGCAGCCATCCGCCAAAAACAAAGTATCACAGGAATCAAAACACAAAATATGCATCATAAAATCAGCCTTTACAGTATGCAGACGACATTCTCCTTTATCTACAAAAATCATCATCATCCGTACCTGAAACCATTAATCTCATAAACACTTTCTCAAAAATCTCAGCCCAAATAGTTGGGATGTGGCAGCGAAAACCTCACCAAACTCCCTGCGCACCGCTAACATCACTTATTTAGGAATTAATATTTCCCCCAGGCTGTCAACTTCAACCCCCTTCTCAAGACAATAAATGATGACCTCCACAGCTGGATGACCCTATACCACTATCACTCATAGGTAGAATTGCTATAATAAAAATGACCATATTACCCAAAATTAACTACTAACTAAACTAACTAAATTAACTCTATGATCCCAACAAAGCCCTCACAATCCTGGTTCAAATCCCTTGACTCCATCACTACAAAATTTTGTTGGAAAAACAAAACACCCAGAATTAAATTAGAAACACTACAAAAACCCAAACCCCAAGGAGGTCTACGAGCACCAAACTTTTTCCACTACTTCGTTGCCCACCAACTACAATACATTCACAAATGCACCAATCCCATTGAATCTGACAACTCCTGGAAAGACATTGAACAAACATTTGCAAAGAAATCAACATCTCAGACCTTCCTTTCATTAGCCCCTCTATCAAACGCCACCCCTGTTTTAAAATCCCTACCATAGCGACAACTCTGACAGCCTGGTGGAAATTTCACCAAATAACTAACACCACTATTTCCTACACCAAACAAACTCCCATCTGGAACAACCCGGACTTTACAATAAACAGGAAACCACTCCATCTCCCAGCATGGATCACTAAAGGCATCACACACCTTGAGCACATTTTCATAACAACATTCTTGCCTCATTCCCTAATTTGTTTCAGAAGTTCGGCATTGGAGAACAGAACTTTTTAGAATAATCATCAAATTCATTCTTCTATAAAAAGCAAAATCAATATTATCACATCCAACTTTGAACTTCCACCACTTACCACAGACATAATCAATATCAAAACAAGGAAAAAAAAGAAAAATAATAGCTTCGCTTCTCCCTCCACACTCCCCTCCAATCAAATCAAACCCTCAAACCAAACCCAAAACCCCAGCTGCAGTCAACTTCTGCTAAAACATAATCATTACACAAACTCTCACCTCTCACATCACAACATTGTTTAACATCAACATATTCAACACATACCATACACACTGCTCAACTCCTCAACTCTCTTCTACCTCTCAAGTCCCCTTTACTAAGCACATTCTCTCCCTCCCCTTCTCTCTCTCTATCGCTTCTTTCACTTGTATCCTTTATGTAATTCATATAGTTTTGTAGTTTTTCTGGTTGTAGTCTGATGTGTGTCTATTGATGTATTAGTGTTTTGCTGTCTTTATTTGTTTTATTTTATTTTTTCTGTATTTTTGAGTTGTTGTCCTGAACTTGTCTGTTTTTTTGTGCCTCGTTTGTAATGTACATATCACCAGTTTGTCACTATATTGCACCTAATAAAAAAAAATTTTTTAAAAAATTCTGCACACAAAAACCTCTCAAACCTTGACGATTGGTTATATTCAAATTTAAATTCTGGACAGTGAATGTCTTCTTGATTGCCTGCTACTTTATTCCAATCGAGGAGACACATTTGAATACATGTTGTGATGTACACTTATACGGCTCTGATGTTTAAGAATGCTCTAGAAAGTCAGTTTAGAGAACATGAGTTCTTCTCTCCACAAGGTAATTCTCTGGAATATTTTCACTTTTATTCTTTGTTAATCGGCTTTAAGTTAGTTGATCTTCAAAGGTAGGATTGGTGTTTATGTTCAGAAATTCTCTGCTTCCTAATTAAAACAGAACAAGATCTTTATCTGTGTTTTTCTAGTACTTTTATAATAGCTGCCATTGCCTGGAAATATAATGATGTATTTGGACATTTTTGCACCTTTTAACCCTTTTTCCTCAGGCATGTCTATGGTCATTCCAAAGTCCAGAGTAGAGGCCAAAGGTGAACAGACCCTTGCCATTAGGGCCTCTAAATTGTATTATTTTAAAACCCCTGCTACCTGTGGAATTTATGCTGGCATCAATGCATATTTACACCACCTCTCCAAAAAAAATGCTTTGAGCTCCTTTTATTGCAATTTTATTTTGTTGCAATTTGTTGCAATTTTTTTTGTTGCAATTTTTGTGTCAACACAGTTCTGTTGGGATGCTTCCTTTTTGCCGTGGAAGATGCATATGCAACATTTTTATGCAAGCTTTAATGACTGCATGACATTTTTTTTAATCAGACACTTACAGATATTGTATCCTTTCATAGAACATAATGTAGCAGAATCACATGATCAAACTATGTACCCTATTGTGAGGATTGCAAAGGTTCTGCAGTATCTATCGTTTAAAAGATTCTGCAACCTTTAATAAAAATAAGTGCAAATACAGCCCACAAAGTGTTATTCTGTCTATTTAAAAATGAGTTATCTTATTAATACACGTCTACATTTTATTGTTTAGTGATCAAGATGCACATTTCCACAAAAGGTTGGTTCACAGTTGCATACAGATCCCAGCAGCCTTCCACTGCCCTGAGGGCAGAGCGGGAGGCTTGGCAAGACTCCACGGGATCTGGTTTGTGGGTGCCTCCTTATAAAAGAGGAGTGTCTCAGGGTCTCTCACTCTCTGCTCCTCAGGATGACTGACACTGCTGCTTCTTCTTCTGCTGCTGCTGCAAAATCAATGAGCTAACAGGAGCACATTGGAGCACTCCAGTTCTCTGTTGTTCCTGCTACCTTTTTTCAAGACTACTTCCAAGGCTGCACGAACTAGAAGTTGCAGCTTTTCCAAAAGAGATTGGACTGTAAGTTGATATGAAGACAATGAGCATTTATTTGAAGAATAAACTCCAATTCAAAAAAAAAAACGAATGATATTCAGAAATGTTGTTTGACTCTTTGAAACGTGATTTGCCTTACCAGAATTTTTGTTGATAGATGCACAGACAATCACTTGGTTTTGATAAAGAAAATACCTCTGTGGATGATATCATTCATCATCAATTGTTTTGCTTTTTCTCCAAAGCTGGGACAAAGATGCTCCCCTCCTTTACATCAGTGCTGCTGGTCACGGCACTGACCAGTGCATTTGCCCAAGACTTTTATGAAGACAGAAAATCTAACAAGAATCCCAGGGCCAAACCTCTGGTGGGAAATATTCACGATGGACAAGGTAAGACATTAAAGTAATAATATAATGAAGACAACTATTGTGCTGCTGAAGTATTGCATTCAGTCTAAATGTGTTTTGTGTGTGATATTTTAACTGAACTTGCCAATAACACTAAACCATTATAAGCTTGATCCTGTGCATGTCATGTTAATGGTGGAGATCTACACTTTGATTTATACATATGTAGTGGGGGGGAATAAAGGAACAAAGTTATGACACTTGTAGAGCATGTTGTATTACCAGAGAGTCCTAAATATTGTTCTGTATGCATTCAGCCATTCTAGATGAGGACTGCAGTTTGGAGCTCTCCTTCCTGTTGGACAGTTCTGAGAGTGCCAAAGACAATCATGAGCAGGAGAAGCAGTTTGTGATGAACGTAGTGGACAGACTCCAGGGGATACAGCTGCAGACCGGCCGCAGCATGAGCCTGAGGGTGGCTCTGCTGCAGTACAGCAGTCATGTCATCACAGAGCAAACCTTCAGAGAGTGGAGGGGCGCTGACAACTTCAAGACCCGCATAGCTCCCATCGTCTACATCGGGCACGGCACCTACACCACCTACGCCATCACCAACATGACCAGGATCTACCTGGAGGAGTCCAGCCACAACAGCATCAAAGCAGCTGTTCTGCTCACAGATGGCGTCTCCCATCCGAGGAACCCTGATATTTTCTCCGCTGTTGCCGATGCCAAAAACCAAGGCATCAGATTCTTCACTTTGGGCATCACCCGCGCAGCCAACGAGCCAGCCAATGTAGCCCAACTCCGCCTTCTTGCCAGCTCCCCGGCCTCCCACTTCCTCCACAATTTACAGGATGAAGACATTGTCGGAAAAATCGTCACCCAGATTGTGAGTATAATACCTTGTCATTCAGCGGACAGCTCTGAGAAGAATGGTCGTATATATTTGCTTTGAATAAGCATCTTTTCAGAGATGACACATGAACAGGCTTGTTCAGGTTCTCCTTCAGAGCTGGAATGATGACAATTCTCTGGAGAAACAAATGAAAGAATGTGTGTGACAGCTCTGGATTTGAAGCTTTTTTACATAGCTTTAGAAAACATACTGTTTGACATGTGCATGAGCATAACCTGCAGGATTAACTTTGTCCTGGTACCTCGCACTACATTCTTTAAGGGGTAAGAACTGGGAGAATGAGTTTTTACAGTCACAAAGGACTTACATTTAGACATTTACTAAAAATAAAATCCACAAAAGCATTCTTAAAGAAGCATAGGAAAGCTGTTGTTAATGATACCGATTTGTATGTAACTGTTTTTCTTAATTCAATCCTAAGTGCTTTTGTTTTTTCAAAACTACTGTTGGTATAAATCAACAAATTTCATCAGGACTACTGTAGCTAAGGAATATTGCTACAATTGACATTATTTCTGTTATTAATGAGCTTTTGTTCTCTTTGCAGGTTGGCTTGGCTGATGAAGGAGTAAGTATTGTTACACTCAAAAATCTCTTCTAGAGCATCTTTTGACATTAAATAATGTGTAATGAGGTGATAGAATAGGTGATAGGCATAGAATTACATCCATAGCAGTGAAGTAAACATATCTCTCTTTTTTTTAAGTGCCCTCTGGCTCAGCGATGTGCCTGTGAGAAAGGAGAGAGGGGGACAAGCGGGCCTGCGGTGAGTACTTAGCTTCAAACTTTTCCAAATATTCCACAACCAAACAAGAGCCTTTTCCTTTGAAGTGTTAAAATTCAGGTTGTGGGATGGAAGGATTCCTAAAAATCTAAACATGATCCTGATGATATTTTAGGAATGGTAATTGTGCAGTTTTGAACAATCGGGATAATTATTTGTTTTCCCCTCCCCTCAGCATAGCCTGCAGGCCTTTGCACAAGCAGAGTAAGTGGATAGGTGGTCCTGTCCCACATTCTGTAAGGAAATCTATGGCAACAGGAAAATGAGTGTAGAGACTGCTGACGGCCATTCCCACAGAAATATCTTTGTTGCGACTCTGTGGTTTTCTTTTTGCATTTTTCATGACAATGTCTCCCGTGGAAACCAGAGGCACCACATTTAGGGCTGAGCTCCCTATAAAACTGGACCTTTGGTGACCATACATCTCACCTACAGACCCTTCTGCAATGGTCAGCTGTGCAGGAGTCGAGACATCACAGTTTTGTGCTCAAGATATTACACTTTGTTTCTGTTGTGACAAGAAGATGATCCCAGTCGCTCTCCAGACACCCAATCATGCATTTTTACTCAAATGCAAACTTCCACTCAAGCCCATTTCCTCTTCAGAAAAACAGTCCACTCAGGTGGTGTCAAACTTTTCAAACAGGGCTCCAGATAATCATGTTGCTGACAGACAGCTGCATGGCCATTAACCAGGTGCTTTCTCCTCAGAAAGATTCTTTAAATTCTTACACTCACGAAGAGGCTCTCATAATTGCTCTCATTAGTTTAATGGTCACAAACTAACGATTTCTGGTAGATAGAAGCAGACACAAGCTGTCCAGGTGCAGCTCAATACAATGACCCTTGACCCTCTGGACAAGACTCCTCCTGTCCACTTATCACTTCAACTGTCATACAGCGTATGTTAAATGTCGCGTCAATAAGAACATATTCAACATAAATTCACAAATCAGCCCAGTTACATTTCCCCCCCTCTGGCTTTCTTAAACAAAGCTTATCGGGGGGATAGATTGTTGTGCAAAAAAATACATCACATCCAAACTCTAACTTTGTTTCATTCTCCAGGGGAAGAAAGGTCGACCCGGAGATGATGGAGCCCCAGGGCTTAGAGGGCAAAAGGTGAATGGTCTTTGATGGACATGTAGATTTCTTAGCTGGCAGGCGCATTTACAAGTAAAACCAATAATACCTTCTAAGTGCTCAACACCCAAATGTATAATTTAGGACAAGGTTACCAGGCTTCTTGAGCTCGGCTATATGATATCTGTAAGCACTGATAACGTACCACCTCCCTTCAAAGAGACCCAGCCATTTGAACCCTGTATTTATCACTGGATGTTAACTGAATATGGGGTTCAACCATTTCTACAATTTATTTAGCAGATGCTTTTGTCCAAAGCGACTTACATCAGAGAGTAAGTACAACACAAGGAAGAATCTAGAGAGGAGGACACAATGTCAGTAAGTGCAAACAAAAAGCTTTAGGTCTGATCAGACACAGTTGCTGACAAGCTGTGCAAAGAGGCAAAGCACTGTTTTGTTGTTGTTGTTGTTGTAAGTTAAGATAATATCTCATCATCAAAAACAACATCAACAGCCGCTCATGAGATTTCTATTCAGCATCAAAACCATCCTAAATATCGTTATTGTCATCATCAACATAAACATCATCATCATCAGGTTGAGTCTAAAGTGCCTCCACACATTTAATCTCACAGGGATCTCGCTCAGTTCTTAAAGTAAGTGTCTACATGGTTACATGACTACTTCTCCATTCTATTTATGGCTGCTCTTTGTATACTTTCCTCCTGCCGTGGTAAGTAGTATGTATATATTTTAAATCATTTTGACTATTGAGGAGACTTAACTTTTGTTTAGAACTGAAATAATTTAATGTTTGAATGTATTTTCCTTTTTTGCATGTTTTTGTCTTCTAAACTTGTTCACATCCACATTTAAGGCTGTACGTTACAACAGTCTGGATGAGCCCTTATTCCTTGAATAATTTCTGTATTTTTTTTATCCTATCAGGGTGAAGCAGGATTAAGTGGTCTACCTGGGAGAGAGGGTGCTGAGGTAAAAGCCAAACCTTAAAAAATAGAATATACATTATTGTCACTGTAGGTTGTTCACGCATTTCATCTTATTTATTCTCTGTGCAGGGAAAACCTGGTTACAAGGGAGAGCAGGTATTTAATCCAGATTTATTACAATGATTTAATAATTTATGAAGCCATTCAAGTAACTTTGTGTATTTTTACACAGGGTGAGAGGGGTGAGTGTGGCACTCCAGGACTCAAAGGAGACAGGGTACAGCAACACTGTTAACACTATAATGATATCTCTTTCTTTGTGTACACAGTGAGTTTGATTTTATGGTCTTATTCTTTCCTACGTTATGTGCTTTAGGGCCCCGAGGGCTCAGTTGGAGCAAGAGGGCCCAGAGGTCTTCAGGTTGGTAATATGTATTTATTAGATTCATCATAGACACTTTATGGTGTTGACAAGCAGACTAGAAGACTTTTCCAACTTGAAAGAAAAGGGCTCTCAAGCATATTTGTAACCTGTATAGTTTACCCATCTAGATTTGCAAAGTTGTGCATTATTTGAAACATTTGATGGACAGCTGTTTTTATTATGTTTATTTCTACCCAGGGGTTACCGGGACCACATGGAGACATTGGACCTGAGGGCCCTCAGGGAAAGCGGGTCAGCCCCTTTTTAAACAACTTTATGTACCTCACTGTGAACATCTGCTGTGACCTTTACATTTCCTTTTATGATTAGTTTAAACAAGAGGTTGGGGCTTTAGTACCGCAGTCTTTAACATGAGACACAGAAGGCTGTTTGTCTTGAGTAATAAACCCCCTATGTGAGCTTTTGGCAATGAGCCAAAGTCATCCCCATTATTATTGTTATTCACAAGCATACGCGGATGAACCATCAGCCAAAAATCCCACTACAATCTCACCTAATGACTTGTATCCTGTGTCTAAATACAGGCTGTGAGGTGCCTACAGCATTGTGAGCAAAGTCCTGAAGTAAAAAAAATAAAAAAACATACACGCTCAGTGTTTCACCATGTGCAGCATTCAGGAAGCTCTTGCATAGATCAATATGGCTTGGTGTCCCTGGATTGTAAAATTGAAAACTTTCATTTTAAATTGTAATACATAAAAACACAGTCAAATGGCACAAATGTACTAAATATTCTCTTAAAGGCAGGCTACATGATTATGGTAAGCTCTACTTCTGTTTTACCCTTTATAGGTAGAGATTAAAGTTACCTGAAGACCAAACAAATTTGTAATTTAAACTAAACTAAGTGGTATAAAGGGCTGTGCTTTGACTTCTGAGACACTGTTGTTTGGGGTTGTCTAAACTCTGAGGCATCACTGGAGCTCAAGTTAAGCTCTTGTTTATCCTAACCTGCAGGAAGATATCAAATATCTTGCCCACTTACCTTCAATTGCTGAAGGATTGTAAGCATTATGTTGCGCTTCAAAGGAGCATATCCACATGTATGCATGAGAACATATGCTTTTTCTATTCATATAAAAATAGAGTTGAGTTCAGTTTTAATTTTCAGTGGGGTTTTGTGTTTTTACTCAACAATTTAAAGTAGTTCACAGAAAGAATGTTTTAAAAATAAAAACTCAAGATTTAATGGATCATGTCTATAATGATAGAATGATGCAATGATTTTTTTTTAATGTACTCTGTTGATAAGACTTATTATGTTTGTTAATTCAGGGTGAACGTGGCCCATCTGGTCCTCCAGGAATTCAAGGGGAAACTGGAATTGGACTTCCTGGACCAAAAGTAATTAATGTCACAGATTATTCTCTGAACATTTGCTCTCACTTCTGTTGATTGTTTGTTTACTGGCTTTATTTCTGGGTTGCCCTGAGAAAATAAATTCACTATTTGAATCTTTAGGGTGACATCGGATTCCAGGGCCGATCAGGTCCTCCTGGTCCTCCTGGAGTTGGTGAACATGGACTTCCTGTAAGTGAAGAAGACACGGCGTGAAAATAACAAAATAGTGATTCTTTTTGTGACTGTGGTGTCAAAATGTTGACCTTAGCATTGTTTGGATGACATACTGTGGCTTTGTTTAAAGGGACCTCAAGGACCACAAGGTGTTCAAGGAGAAAAAGGACCTCAGGGGGAGGGGTTTCCAGGAACAAAGGTACTTTATCAAGTCCACTCATCCAAGTATGGTAACATTGTCTGGATCCAGACTGCAGCAGAGATCAGCCTTGCTTAGTTTCTCACTCCTTATTTCCTCGTAATTAGCAAACCTTTGCAAACATCCATTGCTCTCCTTCTAAGTGAGATATCAGCCTGATGTCAATACAAAATTAAATAATGCAGATATTCGTACACAGACAAGCAGAATGCATTTACTGAATATAGTATGTTTCTATGTAATTATAAAATACTTCTCCTTAATATGCAATTAGCTGCTTTCATTTTGACCAAATACAAAACCTTCAAGCATATAATTGCACAAAATGGTTGCATGCTGCAGTCCAAATTACTTAGAGAAAAATTCCTGTAACCAACAATTCAGCTATAAAAAAGAACATTGTATTAGTATTTGAATGTAAATCCTCAGGTCTGAAAGCATGTTCCAGAGTCATTCTGCAGCCTATATGCTCTGCATTTGTCAAAACCTGATCTTACTCTGTTCAAGCTCACTGATTCAGAACTCAGATGTAGAGATGGGACCGATTATGTCGGATATCAGACTGACGGTGACGATCCACGTCACTGATCAATAAATACGGTTGTGCACTTTAAACATTCTCAGTCTCACTTTGAAGACATTCATATTGAACTGTAAGAAGTGTCCACAAATCGTCTCCATGACGACGTTCAGACGAGATTGGAACAGCTCCTTCTTTATAATCAAAAGTACAATTCTTACACTTCAGTTTAGAATATTTAATATGAAAAGCTGACAGTTGTTGCTGCTTCCTGTTTGTATGTGAAGCCAGCACAATGCAATGCCAGATTTACTACAGCTTTGTGTAGCCTTGCACATAATACCAACAGCAACAATAACATTATTAGTTATGAGGTAAAAATATTGGAGTCAGTATCGGTACATAAGTAAGGGAATCAGATCGGAACTGAAAAAAAGTGGATCGGTGCATCTCTAATCAGATGTTCACTCAAGCATTACTATTCACTCTGTTGTTGATGTTTTGTGTCTGTAAAAACAGTACTGTTCCCTGTGCTGCAACATGCCTCACTGTAAGTCATATTTTAAAAACAGACTTGCAAAATGAGAGAGATGGGATATAAGGAAGAGTGGCTTTTAAAACATAAAAAAATACATAGAAAAGCAACATGATGAATTTAAATGAATGCATAACACCCACAGGGTTAAAGGAATTGCATCAGACCCCTCTAACAAGACCCGACTTGTAGATAAAATTGACAATTGGAGGAGAGTTTTTATGTAGTTGTTTAGTTTACCCTGGAGAGAAGTACTCTGAAAATGTCCTCAAGCAACTACACATCTGTTTGGTCCGTGCCAGACTTCCTATCTTTTATCTGTTTTACTCCTGTGCTGACTTCTATGTCTTGTAAAAAGGGATCAGGGTGCTTCTGTCTATCACACAGACACACATAAGAATAACTTAATCAGGCCTTCATTCTTTACACTTGGATATTGCTTGTGCTGTTCTCTTGATTTACCTCCACCCTTCATAAATCAGAGGTACCGGGAAAAGTTGAAGAATCATGTAGTGCCATGAAGACAGGAAAAAAATGGTTCCATTCCTAGAGCATTGGATCACTTTTTTTATCAATCACAAGAGGGAAACAGGAGCCAACATGCTCCTCTTCCATACTCTCCAACCTGAGAACAATGAAGACTTTGGCACAGACCCAATGGCAAGTGTCCATGATGAAACTGACGGAGATGACCTGATTTTGTTCCACAGGGGGATCGAGGGCTACATGGGCCGAGGGGCCGAGGGGACAACAAGGAGCAGGAATCAAAGGAGATAGGGTGGGTTATAAATGTTATACCTAACAAGAAAAAAAGAGCATGACATGATTTTTACTTAACTTAATATACTCTTGAATAGTATTAAATATAGATGATTTTATGCATGACATACTGTATAGGCTGTTATTTTAATAAAAAGTGGGTGTTTTTCTTATAAACAAATAAGCAAATGTATGTTTTATCTGTTTTATTAGTCAGTTTTCCCCTGGGATTTACAGTGGGCTACAGCTATAATTTATCAGTGGTATTATTTGAAACCATTAGCATGACTGTTGTAACTTGTCACTCATGTGCATGCACTCATAACCAGAGACAAAAACAGCAGGGAGCCACTAATTTTAAAAATCCTGCTCTACAGTGTCCCTATTGGTAAGAAACTCTATTGGGTCCCTTTACATTTTCTGTCATAAGTCAAATAAGTCAGAAATGTCTTCTAGTGTATACTTTGCCCACAGCCTCATTTTATTATTCTGTAATGTACACAGTATATTGCTTACATTAAAATAAAGGGCCATCAAACGATCCAAATTTTGAACCACGATCAATCCCAAAGTGTCAATAGTTGATTGTGATTAATCATATTTTGAATTTGTTTGAAATTCCATTATTTTGAATTTAAAAATAAATATTAAGCTTTAATTTTGGGTTGGCTTTTTTACTGTCTTACGCTGAGAGTACTTGACTTGCTGTTTGAATTCAACACAGCTTTTATTTTGACATAAAGTGAGGACCTTCTGGTAGATCTAGGTTAACTGAACCACGGAAAAAGACTCAATCAAAAGTCATTATTGATCAAAAACTAAATGAAAACAGTTTAAAGGAATGCTAATAAAAGGGACATTTTTGATCTCACGATTCATTTATTTATTTAACTGTGATTAACTAGTTAATGTTGACAGCCCTAATTCAAGTTATACATTATTAGACCCTGTGAGGAAACTTAACTTATGAGGGGCTTTGTGTTTGTTTTTATTTACTCCTGTTGCTAGGTTATAGAAGTGACATGCACACCTATGCAGCTGAGGAAGTCCCTTAGAAATGATGCTGATTTATCAAACTGTTTTTTTTCTTTCAGGGTGATTTGGGGCCTCCAGGTTTTCCAGGGCCAACTGGACAGACAGGAGTGGGCATACAGGGAGAGAAGGTTGATAAAATGTCAACATCTATATTTTTAAAACTGTCTCAAAATGTGACGTCTAGTTATAGTGCAGGACGACGTTCTGCATTAAAAAAACATATCATCTTTATTACCTCGCAGGGCATTGAAGGTCCAAGAGGTCCTCCAGGAGTCAGAGGACTTCCAGGAGAGGGTTTACCTGGATCTAAGGTTTGTGGACACCAACAGACAAGGTTCTCTGTAAAACAGAGCTGTACATTTTTACATCATCCCCTCACACATGTGCTCGGGTATCCTGGTCCTGATTTGATTTGAAGTCTACTGCTTGATCTGTTGCACATGTAAACATTTTATTCTGATTTCACAAATATAAATAAGCCATCATCCTTATATTTGAGAAACCAGGGTTCTCTACTGGGACTACTCCAGTATGAACCAGGATACAACTGCATTTTTAACACTTTATTCAGGTTACAAAAGCTTCTTTGTTGTTACATAACAAAGTATTTGAAATCATGTATAGAAGGAACTGTTTCTTATGTGCCATGTTAACTAAGTATCCTAAATAATTTAATATCGGCTTAACACGGGTTACTACAGAGCATTATATTATTTCCTGTTTTTTCCCTCTAATTTTAGGGAGACCAAGGTTTACCAGGAGAGCAGGGAGCTCACGGAGAGAGGGGCATTGGAGAGCCAGGTGCTAAGGTAAGACAACCCATACCCTGAACCAAATAAGTTTAGGTGGTAGCAAAGGTGGGAGTGCCAATGAAATTAATCTATCAATAGTCCATTAATACAGTTCTACATTTACAGGGAGAGCCTGGAGCATCTGGCTTGGGGGGCTTGCCTGGCCTTCCAGGAGAAGATGGAGCTCCAGGGCAGAAGGTTAAACACATTGTGCAAATTCAATATTCAATACAGAAAAAATCTTCATATTATCCAGAATTATTTGTTGCAGCCTAGGGTTAAAAGTCTGATGGTTTTTCTTTCTCTCGCTTATCTTTCCTTGTTAGGGGGAGGCTGGTTTACCTGGTTTAAGAGGTGCTGAGGGGGCACACGGAATTGGCACTCAAGGAGAAAAAGTATGTTTTGGATAATTTGTCATTGTGTACTTTAGTATTCATGTGGCAAGAAATGTTAATCAGATAATATGTGCTGAAATCGTTTCCAGGGAGACCAGGGTCTGAGGGGCATTCGTGGGCTACATGGGCCTCCTGGGATCTCAGGACCCTCAGGTCCAAAGGTGAGAATCAATTAAATAAGTTTGTTATTGTGACAGGATAGCTTCCTGATAGAGAGGTATGAGCAGCCTCTTTCCATTCATTTAATGAATATGTTCCTGTTGAAGATTGATGCCATCACAACCAATCCTTTGAATCAAGCCAAAAAAACAAGTCCTCAGCAGGTTGTTGGCAGCTCAAGTAATTTCAAAATAAAGAAGAGAATTAATCTGAAGTGTCTTGCCAACTCTTATTTTCCAGGGTGAACGTGGGATACCAGGCCAGCAGGGCATGCCAGGGCAGCCAGGACGCTCTATATCAGGTCCAAAGGTACATAAATAACAACATCAATCTGTCTCCTAACAACGATCTTGGCACGAAGGTAGACAAGAAGCAGGCTACCAGACAAAATGTCAAGTTAAATTTGATGCTATTTAAGCGTGAAAAAATGTATTGCCACTATGAATACACTGTTTTGATTGTCCTGTCTGAAGGGGGATATCGGCTCTGCTGGTCCTCCTGGTCCTGTTGGGGAAACAGGCCATGGATTACCTGGTCCAAAGGTAAACGTCGCATTTTCCTTCATGTCATTTGCTATATATCTTAAATAAGCTTTGTTGGTTTTCATTTATAAATTGTGTTAAACCAGGGAGAGCGTGGACACCAGGGGTTACCAGGTCAAGTTGGTTCAAAAGGCGAAGGCCTCCCCGGCCCTGTGGTTTGTACTATTAACATTTTGCCTCTTCAATTCTAAAATTATTCCTGTGAAAGTGAGTAAACATTTTTTTTCCTACTTATTTAAGGGTCCTCCAGGATTGCCAGGTTTACAAGGCGAGCCGGGCCCAGAAGGAATAGGAATTCCAGGTCCAAAGGTTTGTGTCTAAATGATATTTGTGTTGACTTGGTCTGTTATTTCGCATGGGTGTGTAGGTATAAAGATGTTAACCATGATTTTATAATCTTGTATGTTTTAGGGTGACATTGGCTTCAGAGGATTGCCAGGTTTGCCTGGTCCACCTGGAGAGGGCTTACAGGGACTCGCAGTAAGAAAGATTGTTAAAAAACATTTTATTAAATAATATTCAATTGATGAATGGACTTGGACTTTTCTAGTCTTCTGACGACTCAAAGTGCTTTAACACTACATGAGACGTTCAAACAATCACACCACATCACTACCATGATGGCAGAGGCTGCTGCGTAAAGGCCCCATCAGTACACCTCCATTCACACGCATACGCTTGCTGGTGAAGCAGCAGGAGCAATTTAGGATTCAGTGTGACTGTAGGAGCTCAGGGTCAAACCCTCAGTCTTCTTGTTGATATATTCATAACTAGACAGTTTGTAGTTTTGAGTTAAAACTTAACCTGTGGTCTGATTAATAAAACCATTTGTTTTAAGGGAAATGTTGGAAGACCAGGACCTTCTGGTCCAAGTGGACCTCCAGGAGAAGGCATACAAGGCCCAAAGGTACGTCTTCCAGCCGTTGAACATTAGAGCTGCCTTGCCACCATTCAGTCCATGGTTAATATCGGGTGGCAGTAGATCAGTCTGTAGGGACTTGGGTTGGGAATCGGAGGGGTTGGGAATCGGAGGGTCCAGAAATTGGTCTGGTAGGTGGAGAGGTGCCAGTCCACTTCCTGAGCACTGCTGAAGTACCCTTGAGCAAGGCACTAAACCCCAATAACTGCTCTGGAGTGCTTGCTGTGGGCAGCCCCCTCACTCTGAGACCTCTCCATTAGTGCATGTCCATAAGATCCTGTTCGTGCATGTGTGTGTATTTTGGCCTATGTTTGTGTAGCATGTTCATTAAACAGAGAGTAAAACTGAATTTCCCCTCGCAGGATTAATAAAGGATAAATTATATTCATTTACATTTATGCTTTTGTCCACGGCAAGAAATAGTGTCTCAATGTACTTAATTGAGGCAGACATTATATGGGAATTGCCTGATCATCACTTTACTGCAACGAATATAACAACAATTCTTAATCTATCAAGATTATTGAGTTTTCCAAGAATTTGATATGAATTTAAATGACATTTCAGGGTGAGCCAGGGTCTCAAGGTATGACAGGAGCAAGGGGACCTCAAGGGGATGGATTTCCTGGAGCTAAGGTGATATATTTACACATAATTGCTTAAAATTCCATTGATATCTTAAAGGATGATCTCTAATTGATGAATAACTCTCCTCTTGTTGCAGGGTGATCGTGGATCACAGGGGGAAAGGGGAATGAAAGGTACAAAAGGTGAACTGGGAGATCCTGGATTCCCGGGTGAAGCTGTAAGCAAAACAGAAATTCTTCAATAAAAATATTTAATGAAGTCTCCACTGGTTTAGATATTTCTACTAATACAAAAAAAGTGTTGATGTATGTGCAGTTATTTAGAACAGGTTTACTGTAACACCTTATTTCACAATTATATTGGATAAAGACTATTTTCAATAAGAAACTACAGGAACAGTGACATTGTTTACATCTTTTCTCAAATCCCAGGGGAGGGCAGGAGCAAAAGGAGAAGCAGGCCTCACAGTGAGTTCATCAATTCAGCTAATGTTTTAACAGTCAATAATTTAATATCCCATAAATATTGATAAGAAAATAATGTAAATGTTCTAATATTTTCAGAGAGAAGACATTATTAAGCTGATCAAAGAAATCTGTGGTAAGAGTTCAGGCCAAGTGATTATTATTTGTGTAATTCTGATTAAGTGCTTGTTATCTTTAGGGCATGAATATCGAACCGAAGGTGTTATATTGTCCAATGTTTCAGACTGACATTAATCACATTTGTGTTGACTTGGTCTGTCAGACAGAAATTTTCCTTCAGACAGACATTTCTGGTTTGGTTCAGTCATTTGATTAGAGAATTGCCCATTTACACATTCATCAGAGATGTAGCAACACTTGCTTCCATTTGCCCTCCATGTTTTGTTCTAAGGGCCAATACGTTCTAAGTTCAATATTCACTTCAGGTTTTGTTCCATTTTAGTCCCCAAAAACTTGAAGGAAAAATATGTGAAGCTGTCTATCTGTTTTTTGGTTCTGGAATTGTGTGTTTAGAGAGGAGGTTATGAGAACACAAAGATCGGGCTTAAAATCGAAACAATGTACTGAGAGGTGCTGAAAGACAATAGAGCAGTCAGTTGATTATTCTCTGTGTATTTATCATTGTACCCAACACCGATTTTTATCCTTTGTTACAATAAAAATATTGATTAGTAAGGCTAAGAAACATTGAATGAGGGTGGATTAATGTCTATCATTTAGGATTAAACTACAATCTGAAGAAAACATCATTCATAAAACCAGAGTTTAGGACAGTATACAAGTACATGTAATGATAGTATTTCCTTTTTTTCAGGCTGTGGCGTCAAGTGCAAAGAAAGGCCGATGGAACTTGTGTTTGTGATCGACAGCTCAGAGAGTGTCGGCCCTGAAAACTTTGAAATCATCAAAGACTTTGTCACCAGGTTGGTGGACCGGACCACAGTCGGACGCAATACCACCAGAATCGGACTGGTCCTCTACAGTCTGGATGTTCACTTGGAGTTCAACTTGGTTCGCTACATGAACAAACAGGACGTCAAGCAGGCAATCAGGAAGATGCCTTATATGGGCGAGGGCACGTACACCGGCACTGCCATAAGAAAAGCAACTCAGGAGGCGTTCTTCAGCGCTCGGCCCGGGGTCAGAAAAGTAGCCATCGTCATCACCGATGGTCAAACTGACAAACGAGAGCCTGTAAAACTCGATATAGCTGTGAGGGAGGCTCATGCTGCGAACATTGAGATGTATGCCTTGGGGATCGTCAATTCTTCTGATCCAACACAGGCTGAGTTCCTGCGAGAGCTTAACCTCATTGCTTCTGATCCTGACAGTGAACACATGTACCTCATTGATGACTTCAATACTTTACCAGGTGATCATCGCAGTCAGATGTTGTCAGACTGTGTGCTGGAGAAATGTAAATCACTTAGTGCCTTCAGTTGAGAGTGGCTAAAGTTAACTGAATTCTTTATTTCTTTTTTAGCACTGGAGTCTCAACTGGTCAGCCAGTTCTGTGAAGATGAAAATGGTGCCCTTATCTACAATCGCCTTACAAATGGACACTGGAACAGCAATAATGGGCATGGCCATGGTGTTAATGGAAACAATGGACACGGGGAGAATAACAACGTCCATGGAAATAATGGCTTTGGAAACAATGGATATGAAAACACAGGAAACGGCTACAATTACCCAGAGAAGACCGAAAATCCAAGACGCACTGGCAGCCGAGTCCGTGGAGACACATTCGCGCTGCCCATCATTGCTGATCCTCTCCCGGTTCAGGTCTTAACTCAAAGCTCATTCTATATTGTTTCATTTAAAATGTTTTATGCTGATTTTTCTTTGCAAAATTCTTCACAATACTGACACATTTCTATGTTTTTTTGTTTTTACTGTAGGTGGTGGATGATGATGAGGGTGAAGACTTAGACTTGAGAGCTCAATCAAGTGGCAGTAGTATTGTAGCTGTAGTTAACGTAACGTCTTTTTCACGTGTAAGGGATAGCTCCGCCCTCAATGAGGCTGTCGTATTATCTTCATCATCTTCTTCATCATCTTCTACTTCATCTGCAGCATCCTCGCCAACTCTAGACTCAGTTTCATCTTTAGACTTTGATCAGTTGCACTCCTCAGTGAGTCTAGTAGTGCCTGAAGGTGAGTTGTTGGCTGCTGCACAGTATAGGCACTTTTCATAGAGGACATTTTGATAAGTCACAGTTGGAAAAGAGTGGGTGTATTATTAGATGAATATTCTTAAGAAAAGAATGTATCTCACACACTACTTCTTCTCCAGAGGCCCCTGTTCTTGATCCTCGCTGTCACCTCATCTTGAGCCAAGGCACCTGCAGAAACTACAGCATCCGCTGGTACTATGACAAGCAGGCCAACGCCTGTGCACAGTTTTGGTATGGAGGCTGCGGTGGAAATGACAACAATTACGAAACAGAAGACGAATGCAAGAAGACTTGTGTTTTGTTCAGAACAGGTGAGCTTTGAGGATTTTTAGCAGCATTCACTTTTTATTTTCATTTTCTAAAAAAATATACTTTCTTTGTTTCCAGCAGGATAAACAGAGAAGTGAGATGAAGCCATTGCAAGGTCGACTTAACTAAATCTGAACTTAATTTTGCTGACGTAATTTAAAGTGATCAATTCCTGACATGTTTGCTCACAAAATTTCATGCACTTTTTAACACTTTTTTTCTCAGACAAAAAAAATCTGGCTGAATCGGAAACAGCACTACAAAGTTAAGACTAACTGAATCTAGACTCTTTCACCTCAATGAAAGGCTGACTAAACTACAATTAACTTAAATAAACAGACTTTATTACCTCAAAAAAACTGTTATGTGCTTGATACACAAGGAGAATTCTTTGTTTTCAGGGTTTGGCTTTCCAAAGTTTCATTGACTGTATAATAAAATGATTGCATTTTAAATAGCTTACAGTCTGTCAAATGACAACTACAGAAATGTTATTAAAGTTTAAAATTACTCTGAAGATTTTTCTTATACCTCTATGAGCCACTTGCCTTACATGTACTGAATATATTTCTGACTAGACAGCGATAATAAGATGTTTGTTTAATTTTGATGTTTTGATTTGCTGATTTATGCTGGTACTTTATGTGTGTTTTGTGTGTTGTTACTACAATGTCTCCTTTCGGGTCAGAATTGGAAGCTGTATAAGAAAGCCATTTATGTCAGTTTACTGCAATGTATCCATTAAAGGCCTGTCTATTCAGGCAGTGTGTGTATATTTGATGTAATGTTTTTAATAATAAAATGTAAATCTACTGTGTTTGCATGTTCTCTTTATATTAATTAATAAGTACCATCAAGTTACCCATCAAAACGTCCATGATCTGTACCCCCTTTCTTTTGTTTATAATCCATAATTATGAAGCTTACTTAATTCTTACTTGAAACTAAGTTTACTTTGCTTTCCCTCTAGTTGAAAGCATTTTTTTACCGTTGTGCACAATGAACCCTGCATGAATGATTGCCTTATCTCTATATCCAGTTAGTCAGTCAGCTCGTTTACATAACTTTATAGTATATTTACAGTCTATGCTTTATAGGCATTCATTTGTTAAGTGTTCTGATTAAAGGAGATATTATTTGAACTTATTTTTTATTGAGTACACAGATAAAACATACAACTTCAGGAGATGCTTTTCAGTTACACTTGTCCATTTTCTCATGAAATCCTAACATGTCATTTTGCCAAACAACTACACATCCATATCCATAAATGTATACATACACCCTTTCCTTCATACTTACATTAGATAGACATAAACTTACATACATGCATATAACCACACATATGGCAGCCTTCACATCGTTTTTCAATCCTTTTTCCTTGATTGACTAAGTTCATAATTGTGAATGCAAACATATTGGTAATTTGCTATACAATAGACAAGTGCATTTAAAGTAAAATAAATAAATAAATTAGATTAAATTTAAAATCAAAATATTAAGAGGTGACTAGAGCCCAGGCATTACCTGCATCACTGGGGAAGGAAATATTATTTGATTATTATTTGAATTAAAAAATCGCATGTCTAGATGTTTGTCTCTCTGGCTCGCCGTCGGTTGCCATGGTGATTGTGACGCTTGCTCGGCTTTTCAGATTAGCCTGATTAGCATTTATGCTAGCTCGCTAACCCACGGTTGTACACGAAAGCTGAGCTGATTCGAGATAGTCATAACCTGCAATCATGGCATCTGTTTTAGATGCTCTCTGGGAAGACAGGGACGTCCGGTTTGACATAACAGCACAGTAAGTAAACGATGGTTTACTAGAATAACTCGGGAATATTGCATCAGTGTACAAGCTTGTTAGCTCAGCTATGCTACCTGGCTAAGTAGCAGATAAAGTAATACTCCTGCTGCTAATACTTAACTCTGAGGTTTGTATCTTCTGTCAGGTGGGACAAGTAGACTCTTTCTTAATGTCAGAATTGTATCAGGTTAGCTTAATAACTAATATAGTATAGCAAATTGTATATAGATAGATTGTATATATAGAGAGATTATAAGGAACACAGGAAGTTAATTTAATTTAATAAATATTAATTATTGAGCTGTGGAAAAGGGGTAGGATTAAATAAGTTTTATACTTCTTCCTACTCCTTTTCAGGCATATCAATTGAATATATGTAATTTGCTTTTTCTTTTTTTGTGAAATAATTTGAACATTGTTTTTTGTTTATTGTATTTTCGTGCTTTTCATTTTGTTTTGTATTTTTAATATGTTTGATTTTATTTGATATGTCTGAAATAAATTTAATCAATCAATCAATAGCGGCTCCAATGTTATTGTGATCAACATTTTATTGCAAAAACAAAAATCCAAACTTGTTGCTGAATCTTTCTCTGATCACTTTACTACATCATACAGGCAGATGAAGACTCGTCCAGGAGAAGTTTTAATAGACTGTCTGGACTCCATAGAGGACACGAAAGGAAACAACGGGGACCGAGGTAGTATTTGGTCGGCTGCCTGTCATGAAGGTTCAAACTAAAGGTTCAAACTAAATGTTATTAAACTGGTCACTTAATTTTCGCTCAATTTAACTTCCTTGCAGGACGACTGCTGGTAACAAACCTGAGAATCATTTGGCATTCTTTGGCCCTCCCAAGGGTCAATTTGTGTGAGTAGATTTGCAAATACTGTAAATTCATAACGTTATATTTATGTATAGGTTAGTATTGTTTCATTATTTCTTATGTTGGAGCCAATAATCCAAATGTTTCTGCCCCCTCTTAAAATGTTATGACAATGGCTGACCTTGAAATAAAGCTGTTATATTTTGCAGCTGTGGGTTACAACTCCATCATAAATATTACAACAAGGACAGCTAACTCAGTAAGTTTACCTTTTTTCATCTTTTAACCTAAATATTTCAATTAACATCATTTTTGGTTGTAGTAATTGTAGGTGTCCATAGCTTCCAGTTATCACGTAAACAAACGTTTGATTTCTACAATAAGTTTGTGTGACTATGTCACTGTTGAGGGTGTTTTTTAATTCACAATCGTATATAATGGCAAAGCCAATAATGGCACCATGCTTCAACATGCCTTGGAAGAGAATCATAATAAATGACATAAAAGAATGATGAAGGTGTTAATCTATGACCTGTTTGCTCTCTGCAGAAATTAAGAGGTCAAACTGAAGCACTCTACATCCTGACAAAGTCAAACAACACAAGATTTGAGTTCATTTTCACAAATGTGGTACCTGGAAGTCCAAGGCTCTTTACTTCAGTCATTGCTGTACACAGGTAAAACAACACTCAGGGCATTAAATCATCAGATTACAATCTAGTTAAAAATGTATGACCTACTATATTTTCTAAATGTTTTGTTCCGTTTCAGGGCCTATGAGACATCTAAAATGTACAGGGATCTAAAATTGCGAGCTGCTCTCATTCAGAACAAGCAGCTAAGACTTTTGCCCCGGGAACAAGTGTACGATAAAATTAATGGAGTTTGGAACTTATCCAGTGATCAGGTATTGGAGCATGTCTTTTGAAATGATTTTCTACACAACACTGTGTGATGTGATTAACAGAGATCATTAGTTGGCAATATGAGTTATTGAGTTTTCCTCCTTCACTGATGTTGTTTTATTTTTCCTTTAAGGGTAACCTTGGTACCTTCTTTATCACCAATGTTCGCATTGTGTGGCACGCCAACATGAACGAGAGCTTCAATGTCAGCATTCCTTACCTTCAGATTGTAAGTGCAGTACTCTAAATACCGTTATCTACCTCCAAACTTGTTTTCACCAAATTTCCTGAATTAATTCACAACTAGAAGTTTGACAGCTTTTGTAATGGAGTTGGTGGTAATGTGTCTTGGTTTAAGCCTGAAAATATTACATTTCACTTTTCTTCATGGCAATTTTAAAAAAGTTTCAATAACTAAGGTAGTTCCATTTCAGTCACAGAAACCTCCACGTCTTCCCACATATGACCTTGTTTCTGCTGTAAAATCATGTCTTATTTCTACTGAAGTGTGAGATTGTGTGTTCATTTTCTCTTTTACCTTTTTTTCCCCACAGTGGTCTATCAGAATAAGAGACTCAAAGTTCGGCCTGGCTTTAGTGATCGAGAGTTCCCGCCAGGTAAGCGGATCAACATATGTAATGGAAAATGTATTCTCTAGTTTCAGCAAATAAAAGGAAACCATCTGAAATTCATTCTACCATATATCAGAATTGATAGCCTTCATGTGTCTTCCTCATATATCAGAATGATCGCCTTCAGTAAAAGAAGTGAACTTTCTGCTGAAATGTGAACTTATCAACACAGCTGTGCTCTGTTTATTTGTTATCTAGGTAGACCAGCCTAGATGTATCTTCCTCACACAGGCTTACAGCAATTTCTAAAAGACAAGGCCGTATTGTACTACTTAATGTGCTACAAGTGTTAGACTCTTTGTCAGTCAGCCTGCTTACTTTTTAGTGTAGTGTTTAGTAGTACTGCTCTGACTGCTCTTTGTATAGTGCAAATTCATTACATATGTTATCTCAAGATACAAGCAAGTAAAATACCTTACTCTTTGTTAAATTATATTACAAAAGAGCTGGAAAAATACTGTACTCTTTGTTATATTATCTACAGAACCAGCATTAATCCATCAAGTTACAGTTGCGAGAAAAAACTTTCTGTAAGAGGCAGAAATCCTTTGTTTGAAGGAGATTTTGTCTCAACAGTGATTTCTTTATTGTTTATCTTATAGATGGGTAAACATATCCACCAGACATATCATGGAAAAAAACTAGAATTTGTTGCTTGTGATAGACATGTAAACTCTTTGCTTTGACTTTTTAGAGTGGTGGCTATGTGCTCGGGTTCAAGATTGACCCCGTGGATAAACTTCAAGATGCACTGAAGGAAATCAACTCCTTACATAAAGTTTACTCTGCAAACCCCATCTTTGGAGTGGACTATGAAATGGAAGAAAAGGTGAGCATTAATTAACAAAAATATAATCAATGGGGCACCTGATAGCCTAGTGGTTATGTCACGTGCCTCCATGTACAGGGTTAGGGCATAGTTCTTGTCGCAGTGGCCATTGGTTCGAATCCCACCTCGGCCCGACTCTCTCCACTCAAACATTTCCTGTCTCTCTTCAGCTGTCCTGTCCAATAAAAGCAAAAATGGCCAAATAATATAACTTCACAATATATATATAATCAATGACCATAAACACATTGATAGTTTAACCTTAAGATGTTCTCTGTATACTGTCAAAACTGGAAATAAACCATGATCTGTCTATTACAGAATTATTGTCAACACATGCAGCTTTATTATTCCATTGCAACTGTCTCATCCTCTGGTACAGCCAATTTGTCATAGCGCTTTTTTTCCCTACAATAATTCAGCCCCAGCCGTTGGATGAACTCACAGTGGAACAACCTCCTGATGATGTGGAAATTGAGCCTGACGAGCAGACTGATGCGTTTACTGTGAGTCTTTCTGTTGGCCATCCTGACACTCATCGCTCCACTGGGAGTCAATGGTTTAGTTTTCACACTCTCAGAATAGCTACACGCTAATGGCCCTCAGCAGAATGAACAAACATGAATTTATGTTGCTCAGTGCTCATGTTTATAGAGATAGATGCTAATAACACATCAATAACCTGTTACTATTCACAACATGTTGGATGACTTGTGTGTGTGTTTTTTACCCACAGGCTTATTTTGCTGATGGAAATAAGGTAAATTCTTAACATTTATTCTGATCACAGCTATTATGCTAGCATATTTAGTTTAGTGTTTTGTGCAATACAATTTTTGAGCATTTGTTTTCATGTCTTCAAAAGCAACAAGACCGTGAGCCCGTTTTCTCTGATGAGCTGGGCCTCGCAGTGGAAAAACTGAAGGATGGCTTCACACTTCAAGGACTGTGGGAAGTCATGGGCTGAAATGATACGACACATGTATTTAGATGATTATACAACTACAGTCTATTTATTTAATTGTGGGTAAGTTGGAAAGTTGGAAAGTTGTACAGTTTACACAGATACATTTTCATAAGAGGAATATGCTAATATACTAGTTATATATTAGTTGTGTGAATATTTGAGTAAAACATGTTTTCTTGTACATAGAGTGAATAGAATTTGTACGGTCTCAGTTTGTATGGTTCAAATAAATTTAACCAAAGCTTCTGTGAGGAACTTTCTGTGCGTGTTGATTTTGGCGCTCCCCAAGGACTAAGTGGTACCTTTAAAGGCTTTATATGTGATTTTTCACACTTAAATGTAATATGAATCAAGTATCTCCTCTGAAAATAACTCTGTGAGTCATGACTGTCTACAATGGGTGTAACACCCGAGTCCCACTGTCTGTGATGTTTTCAGAGTCCTATCTTCACTTTGTTTACATCGTCGGGACGGCCAGCTGACTCCTCCCCTCATGTATAAAAGTTGTTTAATTGAGGGACTAGAGAAAAGAAGAATAACATACTGTACTCACTGCTTAACTGTGTTTCTAGATCACGCTCATTTCAGGTAAATTTACATGCAGTGTGAAGATACGAGCATAATAAAGATCGCTAGCATTAGCATGCTAACACAACAATGCAGCGCAAGTTGTTTTGGTTTCATGCTGGTGCTCAAGGGCGACATCTGCTGGATCAAAAAAAAATCGCATATAAAGCCTCTAACTTTTTGTTATTTTGTCATGTACATGGGTTAGTTGTGTCTTTTTTTATGAAAAAAAACACCTGTTTTTTTTACAGTCAAATGTAATGAATCTTTGCTGTGGAAAAAGTTAACATAATTATTTCGGCAGTGTGCAGTTAATTACTTCGTCTGACACCCACCCCCCATCATTAGCTTTTTTAGACATGAAAAATAGCTTTTAATAAGAGTCAAGAGGCATCAGTACTCATGTCAGTCTGTTTCATAACCAGCTAAAAACTCCTCAGAGGAGCTTTAAATGGATAATAATGAGTACATTTTTAACACTTTCAGATTTAAAGATGCAGCAGTTTTTCGATTGTATCTCAACATAGTTCATGTGTATGTGGAAAGAACACAATGAACTCAGGCTAAACACAAAACCACTAAGGGCACTGAAGTATTTCAAACATTTAATGAGGGGACAAACGGTCACCTCCTGAGGCTGCAGCTGTTCACTGACCCTGTCTGCTGGTTGGATAACTCCTGCCTCCTGTGCGGATGCCTCACACACAAAAACTGTCTCACTTTGTCATGATGTGGTCACCACTGTCGGTTAATCATGGTTCATATCCCTGAATACTAACATGACTGCTGTAGTGTTGTGTGTCATGGCGTATCTTTGGAAACATAGAGTGCTGGGAGTGGGTATGCTATTGTGTATTAAAAGTTGTGTTTTTCTTGTCAAACTAAACCTCAACCTATAGAAAGTAAAGGTTAAATGACATGAGAAGATCACCGGTTATTTCTGTGTTGAACACAACAATGTTGTTACAAATCACTATGGTGACAAGGCCCCACAGTAGTGTTTGCTCTGTGACAGCTGTGTGAAGTCCCTGATCTGGCCAACCTGAATTCTTCATGGAGAGGATGTTTGTCTATATTTAGAGGGTCACAGTTATATTGAACTCACTTCAGACCTGGCTGCCTATAGTTCTCTGTCTTATCCCAGCTAGGACACGCTTCCATTTCATTGCCCAGCTTCCAGCTTCCAGCCACCTCCTGATCTCTACTAATGGATCCTCAGGGCTTGAGGGAAGATCTGCGTCTGTTTCAGACCACGCTGCTGCAGGACGGACTCAAAGAGCTTCTAAATGAGAACAAGTTGATCGACTGTATCCTTAAGGTTGGGGACAGGAGCATCCCCTGCCACCGCCTCATTCTGTCAGCATGTAGTCCTTATTTCAGGGAGCTTTTCTTCTCGGCAGATGGCAAGGAAGTGGACAAAAAGGAGGTCATTCTGGAGAACCTGGATCCCGGCGTTCTGGAGGCGATTATAAACTACATGTACTCAGCAGAGATCGACATCAATGACGACAATGTGCAGGACATTTTGGCTGTTTCAAATCGCTTTCAGATCCCGTCAGTGTTCACAGCTTGTGTGAATTATCTTCAGAAGAGGCTATCAAAGACAAACTGCCTCGCTTTCTACAGGCTAGGCCTGATGCTGAACTCTGTCAGGTTGGCGGTGGCGGCTCGAGATTGCATCGCAGATCGCTTTGAGAGCATAGCCAAGGAAGAGGATTTCTTAGAGCTCGCTCCACCTGAACTCTTTGCCATTATTGGAGCTGATGCACTGAACGTAGAAAAGGAGGAGGTGGTGTTTGAGTCCCTAATGAGGTGGATTAGGAAAGACAAAGAGAAGCGTGCAAAATCCTTGGAGGAGGCCTTTGAGTGCATTCGCTTCCGTTTGCTCCCGGAGAGTTACTTCAAGGAGAAGGTGGAGAAGGATGAGCTGATAAAGGCAGATCCAGAGCTTCTCAAAAAAATCAAAGCAATAAAGGAGGCGTTCGCGGGGAAGCTGCCTGAGAAGAAGAAGGGGAAAGATGATGAGGAAGGAGAAGAGGGGAAGCTGCCTGGCTATCTGAACGATAACCGCAGGTATGGTATGTACGCAAGAGACATGGTGCTGATGATCAGTGACACAGCCGCTGTGGCTTACGACGCCCAGGAGAACGAATGTTTCCTGGCTGCCATGTCAGAGCAGATCCCCCGAAACCACGTCAGCCTGGTGTCAAAGAAGAACAACCTGTATGTGCTGGGGGGGCTGTTTGTAGATGAAGAGGACAAAGAAAACCCTCTGCAGTGTTACCTCTACCAGGTAGAGAAACTTCAGCAACAGCATAAAACTAAATGCTAATCATTTATTCAGTTTTCTTTTCTTAATATCTAAACATGTGTCTTTCAGTTGGACAGTCTGGCTGCTGAGTGGAGGGCTCTGCCCCCCATGCCCTCCCCCCGCTGTTTGTTTGCAACAGGGGAAGTTGAAAATCTCATCTTTGCCATTGCAGGAAAAGACTTACAGTCCAACGAGTCTCATGATACAGTTTTGTGCTATGACACAGAGTAAGTCCAGTATGGATATGTCCCTGTTATTCAAAGTGCCAATGTTTTGAATATGATACATTTTTATTTTTTTCCACACTTTTTAGAAAAATGAAGTGGTCTGAAACAAAAAAGTTGCCCTTGAAAATCCACGGACACAGTGTGGTCTCTGAGAACGGGCTGGTGTACTGTATTGGAGGAAAAACAGACGACAAGTAAGATTGCCTTTCCAAAAAGTTGTTTGTTTTTTAAGTCTAAATATGATTTTTTTTTTTTTTTACACTACACTTATTCTTTTTGTCTTGCTGATTAAAGTAAAGCTACCAATAAGATGTTTGCATACAACCACAAGAGGTCAGAGTGGAAGGAAGTGGCTTCTATGAAGACCCCTAGATCCATGTTTGGTGCAGTTCTCCACAATGGAAAGATTATCGTGGCAGGGGGAGTCAATGAAGAAGGCCTCACAGCTACATGTGAAGCCTACGACTTTGGAACCAACAAGTAGGTCTTTTATGGTCATTATGATTGATTTTGATCAACCAGTTACCGGTTAATTACATTCAAAATCTTGGGTAATTATTTGGTTTTAACTTATCTTTGCAAAAGCATGTATCATTTTATACTGTAGGTTTTTACTGTACTGTAAGTTTGCATTTTAAATATAACTAAATAAATTCATAGCTCTATTTGGATGATTTAAAACAGTGATTCTTAACTTTGTTTTGTTTGTTGGGTGCAGTTTAATCTCAGACTGCTTTAAATTAATGGCCGTATGTAGTGTCATAGACAAGAAAGCATCAAGAGGAAGTGTTAAGAGAGTCAAGGAACTCTTAATTTACCAATGTTTGATGTATGAAATGAATGCAGCATCTTTTGTTTCAGGTGGTCACCGTTCACAGAGTTTCCTCAGGAGAGGAGTTCAGTGAACCTGGTGAGCTGTGGGGGCTCGCTGTACGCTGTGGGAGGGTTTGCCATGGTGGAGAACGAGAACAAAGAGTGTGCACCCAGTGAAATCATTGACATTTGGCAGTATGTGTTGATTTCACTTTCATTATTTGTGATGTCCAAACCATTTCACCTATCGATCTATTACCCAATCTATGTCTTTTTTCTGTTTCCGTTTTTTACCAGGTATGAAGAAGACACGAAGCAGTGGACCGGCATGATCCGAGAGATACGTTATGCAGCTGGAGCCTCCTGTGTGTCCATGAGGCTGAACGCAGCCAAAATGCCCAAACTGTAATACCAGCCCACAGACTTTCACTTTACTGCTGTAGGATAGACAACTGTGTACATGCCTGTATTTACTGGCTCACACTTTAACATGCTCCCCTTGCTTTGTCCGAGTGTTTCAATAAATCATTGTTCTAGTTGAAATTATTTCTCGAGTCTCCACTGTCTTTAAAGGCTTTATATGATATTTTTTGATCAAGTAGATATCGCCCTTTAGCACCAGCATGAAACCAAAACAACTTGCGCTGCATTGTTGTGTTAGCATGCTAATGCTAGTGATCTTTATTATGCTCGTATCTTCACACTGCATGTAAATTTACCTGAAATGAACGTGATCTAGAAACACAGTTAAGCAGTGAGTACAGTATGTTATTCTTCTTTTCTCTAGTCCCTCAATTAAACAACTTTTATACACGAGGGGAGGAGTCAGCCGGCCGGCCTGACGATGTAAACAAACTGAAGATAGGACTCTGAAAACTCTGAAAACATCACAGACAGTGGGACTCGGGTGTTACACCCATTGTAGACAGTCATGACTCACAGAGTTATTTTCAGAGGATATACTTGATTCATATTACATTAAGTGTGAAAAATCATACATATAACATCTTTAAATAGCTGTTTTTTGTTTGGACCAAATAATGGTCTTAAAATCACTTGATAATCATCCACTTTTAAATATGTGTTTTATGACTATAGCTGGTAAAGGTTTGCCTAGAAATGTTCTTTAAGAATCTGAAAATGAATGCTCTTCCAGTCGATGACAACATGTACCTTGATGGTCACCATAGTGAATTGCTTGACAGCAACATATTATTTACTTGTGTAACGTGTTCACTCTTCAGTTGTAACAAACATTACAAATAAACTATTTTGTTTTTTTAAGCAATAGACGTTCAAAAAAAGGAATGCAGATCTATTTTTAT